TAAATAAATAATAATAAAGTTAAAGTAATAAATATATATTTATTTACTTTAAAAATAAAAAATTATTATTATTTTAAAATAAAAAAATAAAAAAATTATATATTTAATAAATGATAGTACCCTATCATCACTTAAGCGACAAGGAGAGTAAAAAGAGCTAAAAAGTAAACTTAAAAAAAAAAAAAATCAAAATACAAGTACTAAATTGAGTTTTAAGCTTTTAAGTAAGAAGGATTTTATTTCAATCAATGAGCTGGATTTCAGCTCTGATAATAACATTTCAGCTCTTCCAGCAGAGTTGATCAGAATAGAAGCCCTCCCCCCCCCCTCCGCCCGGTCCTTTCTTTTTGGTTAAATGCTAAATTTGGTCCCTCAACTTTAGTGAGTTGCACATTTTTGGTCTCTCAATAATTTTTTGCACTTTTTTGATCCCTCAACTCTAAGAAATGCACACCGTTAGTCTTTCTGTTAATTTCGACCGTTAACTCCGCTACGTGGCATTTTTTATATTTTTTTTTATGACATAGCAAAAATAACTTTAAAGAGTGTTGATTTGGATTTTTTTTTATGACGTGTCAACGCCACCTCATAAACTAAATTTGCCTTAATAAAAAAATTAAAAAATTATAAATTTACCTTAATACCCCTATCTCCTTTCTTGATACATCTTCTTCCCCTCCTTCGATCCATCTTCTTCCTTTCTTTTTTCTTTTTCTTTCTTTCTTTCTCTTCTTCCTCTTCTTCCACCAAACCCAACAAACTAGGTTCGACGGAACCCAGCAACTGGGTTCCGTGGAACCGAACCTAGCTCGGGTTCGATTCTTCTGCTTCATAGGCTAATGAAAAAACCTTCATTGTCATGGTTCAGTAGGATGCCAAACCCTTGAGATTGAGCTTTTTGATTCAGTAGGATGTCATGAAAAAACCTTCAAGGAATCTGATTTTGGGTCCGATCTTGTGATTGAGCTTTTTGATACCAGGTTATGGCTTGAGTGGCAGAGTTTTAATGATCGGGACCCTTGAGATTGAGCTTTTTGATTCAGTAGGATGTCATGAAAAAACCTTTAAGGAATCTGATTTTGGGTCCGATCTTGTGATTGAGCTTTTTGATACCGGGATATGGCTTGAGTGGCAGAGTTTTAATGACTGGGATTTGGGTTCGATTCCTGCAAAATGGAAAGGGCAGTGCGTGACGACGAAGGATTTTGGATCGAGTTCATGTAATAAGAAGCTTATTGGAGCGAGATTCTTCTACAATGGGTAAGAGGCAACGAACGGGTAGATGAATGAAACCTCAGAGTACAAGTCGCCAAGAGATTGGTGATGTGGGGTCCATTTGAATAGATTTATCTTTTTTCAGTGACAGTAACATTACGTGGCAAAACATTTTATCCATATCATCACTTTTTTAAACTTTACCCTCCACATCATCAAAAAAAATATAAAAAATGCCACATGAGCGGAGTTAACGGTCGAAATTAACAGAAGGACTAACGGTGTGCATTTCTTAGAGTTGAAGGACCAAAAAAGTGCAAAAAATTATTGAGGGATCAAAAATGTGCATTTCTTAAAGTTAAGGGACCAAATTTAACATTTAACCTTTCTTTTTTTGTTAGGGGTTTAATTTATAATTAGTTTTGAAAATAAGACTTGGAAAGATTGATATGTCAGGGTCTAATTTATTCGTTGAGGTTTCTTTTCAAAATTTAGATGTGTGTCCATCAAATATATATAAAACAAATAACAAAAGTATAACTTGTAACTTAAATTTATATTTTCAATTGAGTACATATTGTCATTAAATTCAAATAAATCTCGATTTCTTTTTGGCATATTTTTGCATTAATCCCCCACATTAAATGAAGCTTAAAAATGTACCTCCTTTTTTTTTTTTTTTATAACTTGAAACCAGTGAGGGATTAATTTTTGGAGTAGAAACCATTTTGAAGATGTTTGAATTCGCCAAATATTCATTGAGTTTATAACTAATTTTTTAATGAGACAAAAATTTAGGTAAAAATTTATATAATGACATAATTCAGATTTTTTTAATGATGTTAATGGAAAGAAAAATCAATAATTAACTTTAAAAAGAGTATTTTATGACAATACAATTAATTAAAAATCTAATATTTTTTTAAAAAGAATTGAATTTTGTTTTTGACTCGACAAAAGATTTTAAATATTATTTATTTATTTTTATTGTCTAATGATTTTATTTGACATTAAACCATCTTAAATGACCTCTCACTTTTTCATTTTTCAAGCCATTAATCATAGATATACTTAAGAAAGCAAGATATCTGAAAATATAACATAACATGAATGATTAATATTGTTTTTACACAATGAGAAGGTACATAAACCAGAGTCTCATAATTAAGAGCAAAAAATCTTATAAGCCAACCAAATAGAACAGGGAAATTAGAAGTTCCAACAAACATAACCAAAGAACAAGCTAAAGGATTTCAACTTGAAGGGGAAACTGCTCGCTTATGCTCCAGAAAAATCAATCAACTTGATCTCCACTACAGCCAAGGCTTCATTTTTCTGTCAAAAGATATTCCCGTAGCATTTGTCAAAGAATAAATTTCAACAAGGAGGGGAAACTGCAACAATACAAAAAATGTAACTGGAATGCTAGCCATTATAATTATGGGAATGATTGCCCACGGTCGATGTTGTAGTATAATCCAAAGAGCAGCAGAAAAGCTAACCATCATTGCTGCAATAGAAATAAGAATAGTGGAGAGGAAAATGATCAACTTCTTGGGTAAGGACTGGAGAAAATCTACCGGGTCGAAGCGCGATGCTAGGATTCCCATAAACATTAAGACTGAAGCTGATGCAGTAAAGAAGGAAATCGCATCAGATATTATAAATATCATAAATGATCTTTTCTGTAAAAAATTGGGAAACCCATTTTGAGCATTGCCGCCTGGAAGAGTAATGGCTGCAGCAAACGTGATCGTAATAATGAGAGTACCGACAACAATAAAAGAATTTGCCATGTCCCTCATCCATTTTTCCCCCTTGTCCACTAATTCTTTATGGCTCTTTGAAAATACTTCATAAGGGGTTTCACCATTATCATTTTTAGATTTTTTGCACCATTCTGGAACAATGCTTTCCACCTCCTGCATTCGGTTAACAAAAGTACACATTATTTTTAGAACAATAAATTAGGTTTTATTTTTGTAACAAATAAATAAGTTATACTTACTTTATATATAAATTTTTAAGAGAATCAAAACACACTTCATGTATAAAAATAAATTAAAATAATTAATAATAATAATTTTAAAATGCTATAGTTAAGTGGGCAAGTAAGATGAAAACCTTAAACCAATGTACTTCTCTTTGCATATGCAATGCGGGGCTGGAGATTCGTGCATGTTGAGGAGGAGGAGCTAGCTCCCCTGCCACATGTAACATATTATTCCTGCATATATCTGTCTGATTAAGAATATGGGCTGTCCATTCCTCATTAATGCCATATAGGAGGCTGAAAATGCGTTCTTGACGATATTGGATTGCTATCATGAAAACGTTTCTTTGATAATCATTCTCAGTGAAAATGAGTGGTTGGGTTATTTTCAATAGCTCAGCGACGAATTCAACAATGCCCTGCTTGGTAGCTTCAAACATCGCCTTAACCGCTCCACAATTCGAAAGAGATTGAACTTTTAATGTTGAAATATGATTACACATACATTGAAGAATCTCAAAGGAATAGAGATGCATCAATTTCAAATCATAAATTTGTTGGATTCCTAAGCAAATCAAGAATCAATTAACATATACTATGGAAGATATAAAAATAAAATAATAAAAGTATAAATGCTAAAATACGTAAAAAAAAATAAGTTTCATAGTTAAGGGTAGGTTACCAGAGAAATTTTGGATTATTAAGCTCAATCTAACATGTGAACCAAATACTCCAAGAGTAAATCCCTGATAGAACATGTACAAAGGAGAACAATACAAAAATTTATTTTAGTACTACATTAACATAATTGATATTATTTTATATAAATTCACATAATTTTAAATATTTAATTCTAAAA